TGGGATGTTCTCTGTGAGACACACACACACACACACACACACACACACACAATAAATCAACCAATTTTTAAAAATATATTTGAGGAGAAAGCATGGAAATTCACATTATGTTAATTAGTAGAGGTGATAAACATTACCATTTAAATATACCCGATGACTTTATAGACATACACAGGCGCCAAGGATCCAAGTGCAACCGATTATAACTAGTAATAATCAGATACATACAGATTAGAGATGCATGAACCAACATCTCAGTGTTAGTAGCAAAAACAATGAGTCTTTCTGCAAGGGACAATATATTCTAAAATGAAATGGAGATCTTTTTTAATGGTTAAAAACTCAATTCAATTTTATGTATTACAGGGCTGATACTGAGTTCAATATTGTACAACTGTATTAATTCAACTGTGAACCTAGAACCCACTTGTGAAAGAGATGTACTCTTGCTCTGGAGTGAGTTACTGAATATGTTAAAGCTGTAATGAAATGCTTCTTCTAATCATGTAGTTATTAAATTTTTTTTAAAAAAAGAGTGCTAAGATTAAGGTTGTGCATGACCACACCCAGTTTCCCATGCTTTATATTTTTGATGATGTTGTTTTTGTTTAGGTTTTTTTAAACTTATTTTAATTTTAGAAAAGATCTCCATTTCATTATGAAACTGTGTATTTTAGTAATGAAATCGAGAACTTTTTCAAAGGTTAAACCCTATAAGACATAAAATTAAATGAGGTTTTAAACTTAAAAAAATCTCTATTTGAAACTCTGTATTTTAATAATGAAATAGAGATCTTTTTTAAAGATTATAATCTCATTTAATTTTATGTCTTATATGATTTGTACTGACTTCAATATTGTATAACTGTATTAATTCAACTGTAAACCTAAAAATTTACAGCCAATTTTGAAAGAGATGCATCTTAGCTCTGGAAATTGTTATTGAATATGTCAATTCTGTTGTAATGAAATGCTTCTTCTAAGTATGTGGTTATTAAATAAATAATTTTTAAAAAAGAAAAATCAAGAGGAGAGGGGTGTAGTATCTTTAAAAGCATTAGCAAAACATGAAGTAAAAATAATCAGCAATGAATCTAGATAAAGAATGACAAAATTAGAAAAATAGGTCATTTTTCATTTTTTCAGCTCTGTGTAATATTTACCAACAGCTTTTACTTGGTTACTCATGTAGCAATTTAGGATGTAAAGATAATGGTTTGTGAGGGTCCTGGTGAGATGGGAATGCTGGATACTATTGATCAATTGGCCACATCAGCCTTTCTATCAACATGTAGAGGTTTCAGGATATTTCTCTCAAGTATCTTCTGTGGTCCACAGAAAATCTTCACTGAATTTGTACTTAATGAATTTCTTGTTTCTAAAGTCCTCAATTCCCTCTCTTGCCATAAGACACACTTTACTACTCTGTGCCTCAATCTAATTTAGTTTCTATTCTGATCTTGTAGCCTAAAATAGAGGGCAAAGAAAGTATTAAAATAATAAATAGATGAATTCACTGGAAAACGAATAAAGGAGATTACAAAAAATAATATATGGATCAGAGTAAAATGTGAAGAAAAAGTAATAAAGCAGGGCTTTGTTTAAACTCTGAAAAAGTAAAACCTTCAAAGTAGAAACAGTTCTGAAGATAACAAGTAATTAAGAAAAGAAAAGAACATGATACACCCAGGAAAGGAATTGTGAGAGTGTAAAGGAAACAGGGATTCTAAATAGAAAGGAACCTAGAAATAGGTTAATGAAAAGAGAGTCATGGATAATTGAGTAGATATTCCTTTTTTAAAAAGAACAGTTTGTGGGGCTGGAGAGAAGGTTCAGCAGTTAAGAGTACTGGCTGCTAGTGTAGAGGACCTGGGTTTGATTCCCAGTACCCACAGGATGGCTAACTGTCGGAACACCAGATCCAGGGGAATCTGACAACCTCTTCTGATATACATCGGCACTGCACACCACGGGTGCACCTCCCTACATTCAGACAATACGCTCATACACATAAATAAAAATAATAAATACAATATTTTTTTTAAAAAAGAACAGTTTGCTACAAAGAGCAAAGAGGCAAAACACACTGTCTGAAATAAAAATATATGTTGGGACTAGGGAGGTATCTCAGTTAGTCTACTGTTTACTTAATAAATGTGAGTTGAATCCCTAGAACCCAAGTAAGAAGCCAAGTATGGTGGTATATGTACTTATAATCTTAGAGATGGGGAGACAGAGACAGGAAGATTCCTGGGCTGGATGGCCAGCCAGTGTAACCCAATTGCTGAGGTCTAGGCCAATGAGAGACTGAATCAAAGGATGTGGACAGCATTTCCTGAGAGTGACAACTGGGACCACTGGTCTCCAAAAGCATAAGTACATGCACCAGCATGCACATATGCAGTTTTACACCCCGTATCATCCACACACTTAAGAAAAAGTATATGATGCTGTATCAAGCCAAGAGGATCAGGGAAATGTCTTCAGTGAATTCCCTGAAGTTGAGGAGAATGTGCAAATAGGAGAGAGAATAAAATATTTCAGTACACAAAAAATGCCTAGTTTATATCCAAGTATATAAAGTCTCCTTAATATTCATGAGTAGAAATTGCTATTATTTCTAAAGATAATACAATGAAATGCATTGTATTAAAAGGGGGAGAAAGACCTCTCCCCTTTTCATTATAGGCAGCAGACTCCTTCAATAAACACTGGATAAATATTCTGACACATTCATGTTGTGCAGGATAATAGCACTGGAAGAGATTGTTGCATAGGATATGAGGTGGACAGATAAATTGGTTAAAATGATGGTGATAAAATCAGGGTTTGGGACAGAAATTTAAAAAATCTGTATTCCTATTCTATTCACTAATTTGCTCTAAAATAAGTGTTCTGCTGCTGTTGGTATATGGGACAAGCATGCAGGTTTTCATAAATAGATTCTAGAAAGTGTGCTAGCTATATTTTTAGAATAAAAATTTCTATAAGGTGGATATTACAATAATCCTCTCATGCACATATTTTGTTGGAGAACACAAACAATAGTTGATCCTTTTTTCTCCCCCACTTTTACCTTCCCCTGCATCTCCACCCTTCCCCTTCACCATTCAAAACGAAACTTAAAGTACTGCCTGTTATTTCCTTTCTTCTCCTATGAAACTATTTTAAAATAAAGTTTGGGGGATATTTTGGAAAATAGAAGATGGCTGTTTATATAAAGTTACAAATTGAAGGCGCATTGTTTTCATAATTTACCTCTTCTGCTAAACTATTGATAATGCAAACAGAGCTCAAAACACAAGAATCTGTGTCCCTCAGGGTTACATTTATATGAAAGTTGTCTTCTTTCTCCCTATATTTAGAATAAAGTTCTTAATCTTAAACATTATATAAATAGAATAGATATAATTAAAAACCTGAAGAAATGTGTTACTGTTAATTGAATTCTTGCTACAGTTACCTTTGTACACCAGTGTTAATAAAACTCCAGTTCAAAGTGGATGAGTTTGGGGAATTGAGATAGCTATTTATTTCCTTACCTGCAATGCCAAGATAATCTTCTCAGGTAAATAAAGAGCCGAATTAGGAGCGTTCTCTTTTGTAACTATTGATCAACTTTACACAACTGCTAAGATTTCTAAACAAAACACATGAGAGGTTCAAAAGTGACTGAACAAGGTCAAGTAAGTGTGAAAGAAACCCCATTTTGCATTTTGAAAGTCTTTCACCTGTGGAATAAAGGGCTCCACAGCTCCCAGCTGGGCTCCACTTCCGCCCCGGGGCTGAAAAGCCTGCTCTCCCCGCCAAGCCACAGAACCTCCACGCTTGGTATCTCTCTGCATTACCAAGCTATAAATTGCAGATAGCTTAGATACAGTCAGGTGACCACTGCTTTCACAGGGGAAAAGCTTCTTACTTCCGAGCAGAAGGGTGCAGCTGGGAGAGGAAGGAGGGAGAAAAGACTTTATCCGCTTTAGTCTTCACTGCGCTAGCGAGGGCTGGGGGGAGGGGAGTAGCACAAATACAGGGCCACGAAAAGCGTGCCTGACGATGCCGCACTTGACTCAAGTCCCCAAACTTAGTGGTTGCTGCGGTAGAAACTCCCAGGGCACTCTGCACTGCCTGGCTGAGGCTGGGTGGAGCCGCTCCTCGGCCCCACCTATAGGCTGGACTTGCCTTGAGTCTCTGGTCACTGCACCCTTCCAGAAAGTCTCCAGGCATCTACCTGACATTATCCCAGCCCGGCTTCCCACCCCAGCCCCGGCAGAATAATATGACTGGCCTCCCACAGCCCACAGGGCCACCTCTCTCAGGCTTAGTTTGAGACTACTTGGGCAGAATCGTTCCTAGCCTCATCCCGCCCGGCTTTCCCAACTCCTTCGGGTCAAAAGACCAAAGATAAACTTCTGCCTCTCCCTTCCTCGCACCCATCTCTTCAACCCGGAACCCACACACATCGAAACTCCTAGGGCTCTGTGGCAATCTGGGCATGCTCAGTATCAGGGCAGGTTTTGATTGAAAGTAAGGAAAAAAAAAAAAAAAAAAAAAAAAACCGGTTCCTTATCCTGTGCATATGACTTACTGAATAGGTTGTGGGCATCCCCGAACCTGCCCACCCGGTTTAGGAAATGCCCTTGAGTTTTTCTCCTTGGGATCTGGTCCCCTCTTAGTTCATCCCCCTCCTCGATCCTCCTCAGCCCCCCCCCCCTTCCCCGCAAGTCCCAGTCCGCTGTGGGGATGGAGAGACTCTAACAGAACTGGGCTGGGCTCTGTTGGCAGAGAGGAGCCACCTATTATTAGTGCTCACGGATTGGCTCCTTGGTGCAGCGTACCCGGGGTGGAACCAATCAGCAGCTAGGGCTGGAAGATGATGGGCGGCCGCCTCCTCACTGGAGGGATTCCTGGAGAAGCTGCAGTGTGGGGATGCTCTGACCGAGTTCGGCCCCCAGCGTCTTTTCTTCTCCTCCTGCAGCGGCCGCATCAGCAGTTAGCAGCAAGCAACTTGAGGCTGCACCCGGGGCAAACCCCCAGGGTTGTGCTCAGCTGATAGGGGGGCTCAGCGCCCCGAAGGGGTGTGTGCAGGGTGGGGGCGGCCAGCTGGGACCAGCTGGTGGCCCTGAAAAACCTCCTACACACCCACACCCACACACCCCTTTTGTGTTGCAGGCTGTCCCTCTGAGAGCAGAGGAAGCAAGAGTACCTCGCACCGGTCCCCAGCGAGAAAGCAGAGGGGACAAGATCAGCACCACCTCGCGGTCCTCGCACCAGGTAAGGCATCCGGTTGGCAGCGCAGCCACCTCGGTAGTACCTCTGCGCTCGAATCTATGAGGAAAGGTCTTGGTACACTTGGTTTTGTGGTGATGGGAGACCTAGGGAGGGATCCCCGGGTGGCCTATTGTGAGAAATATGAGACCACATGGGCATCTCCGGGAAAAGCACTTTGCACAGGGCTGGTGATTCAGAGCCCGGAGTTGATGTTGGGCATCCCCCATCTTCTTGCTTCCTTCTCTCTCTCTCTCTCTCTCTCTCTCTCTCTCTCTCTCTCTCCCTCCTCCCCCCTTCCCTCCTTTCTCTCCCCCTCCTCTTTTCCCCTCCTCCCCCCTAAGCAAGCTCAGGGTTTCTTTCTCTGGATTGTCTTCCTTACAGGGAAGAGGGGCAGTGAAAAAGAGAGGAAGATTTCCTTCTGTTGGAGGGCAGGATAGAATGTAACCCGGGGGAAAATATGAGGGCAGGAAGAAATGAAATTGCACAGGAATTAAACGGAATGAGAATAGACCAGGCGCCCAGCTCCTGCGAGGAAGTGTCAAGTTTGACTCCATCTCCGCCTTGCAAGAGGCTGTGTTTCTCTTGATCCATACAAATGGAACAAAAATAAATCGACACTCCAACCCACTTTCAGCTGCTTAATTGCTGTTGCTTTTCAGTACCTGCTCTCTGACTTTTCTTTTTTGCATCTGTCCTATGGGGCTGACAATTTAGGATTGCACAACAGTGTTACTCTCTGAACTTTGAGGTAGTCTTAAGTTAAAAAAATTAAAAATAGATTATTTCTTCCTTGAGGTTTATTGATGTGGCCTTTATGTTGGGAGACTCTCCACATTGTGAAGTTTCAAAACGTTTGTTAAGTGACACCAGAATTATCAGAAGGCTTAGATGTTACTTTGAGGTAGCTAATCTAGTTAGCTTTGTGTATGTGTTGATGTTCACTTCCCTAACCTTAACCCTTTAGTAAAACAAAACAAATTTAACTTTTATGTTAAAGCTGCTTTTGTGTATTAAATTTCATTTTATTTTACCTGTCCACCCTATACTTGCATGTTATTGTCTGGATAGTAAATTCATGTCTTGATTCACATTCTTTTAATATGAGACCATTTAACGGATGTAAAAAGGTGTGTATGTAATTTCCATGCTCCCCTCAGAAGATAAATGGAGATTCAGTTTAGTAAGAATTCTGTTGGACTAAAACAAAGTTTTAAAAGTAGTGGTAAGAAGGTAGTCTCAAATTTTAAAAAATTATTAAGGGGAAACATTTTAGTTCTAATGTATGAATAATAGGTCAAGTCCACTGTACCTGTTGGACAGAGCCTTAACAACAGCTTCAGCACTCTCTAATTCCATCGTCACTGATCTAAGCTTTCCTTTCCTATTATCCCTCAGAGACTGACAAGTGTTTACTGTCAGCGGGGAGGAGGTAAAGACAAATACTTAATTAGATATAACAGGAAAGCATTCCAAGTGGACCCTGCTTGAGCACAGGAACCCAGCAGATGTTAGTACCAAGATTTAACAGGGGAAATGGCAAGTTGTATTATTTTCTAGATGTCCGCTTAAGAAAAGGAAATCTTTCTTAACTCGACTTCACCTTCAACATCACTTTGTGCACCCCAGAAAGTATTTTTTCAACTGCATATCTTTTAATGTGTAAGTTCATGCACAAACTTACAGAAGAGCTGGATTCGTGTACCATGGATGACATTAGTATTAATACAGTACATTATTTTCAAAAACCATTTCCATTGGAGGCAATTATCTCTACCTAAGCATGTGCATACACACACACACTCACAAATATACACACATACACACCCACACTCACACCACACACACGCACACACACACACACACACACACACACACACTCACTCGAATGACTTTTGCTAGAGTGCTAGAGCTTTGACATATAAAGGACTTCTTAAACATCATAGTGCTCCTGCTGAAATCTAAGTATTTTTAGAGATGATACCCTTTGGTTACAAGGACGAAAGGACAAGCACTTCATTACCTCGTGTGTATGCACAACTGAATTAACAAGTTTAGACTTGAAAAGATGTACAAAAAGGAAATAAATAGCGTTCAGTGTGAGTAAAATAAGATTCTGTTTGTTTGTTTCTCTACCGTCTTGGGGAAATGTGGAAGTTTGGGCTTTGTTCCTGACACTTATTTACATGTCTCTTTACAAATGTTAATTATAGCAATAATGGGTAAAAATATGCTTATGAATATGTAGTTTTTCATGTACTTTTGAAAACTGAGACTTCATATATTGAAAGTCAGAGCTAATTCCGATACCTAATCAATTATTTGAAGACTTTAATGATACAGAAAATTTTTTGTCATAATTTCATACTATCTTAATTTTTCATCATTTAATATGTATGTTAGTAAGTCTCATTAATGCTTTAGCGTGAAAATGATAAGTACATTTTAAGGTATTCTTATCAGAATGGAAAATTTCAGTTATACAAGTGAAATGCTGAAGTACTAATTTCACAAAATACTACCTGATAAAGAGTTATTAGTGAGTAGTTTTGAAACTCGTGACTTAAAGCATTATTTATTTATTTTATCAGGTTAAATTATCAGGTAGTTTTAATCAGTAAAAATGAAAACACAAAATATGGTATTTACATTCTATGATTCACAAATTAGACTTGATACAGCTACTGAAAATAAAACTAGAAAATGGTAGCTTGTCTTAATTATGTTTGTAAAATGAGCTGTGAGATTAATAAATAAAATTCAGAATATGCTAGAAATCTGAAACTTTGAACTTCCTATATAGCCTAATAACACATTGAAACAATCAATTTATCTTTGTTGATGTCAATATATTAAATGAATTTAGAGTGTATTCCCAAAACAGGTTTTCAGAGCCATCTAATATTAAAGAATTTAGACTTAAGAGAGAGAGTTTATACTAACCTGAATGACTTAATAGTTTTTACGATATCCAGTTTTTGCAACACCTGGGAAAGGCTGCCATTAATTTTAATTCAGAACATGATATTTATTTTCCTAATGATTATGTGTATTGGGGGTAAAAAAGAAAAATAACATAATTTGATTACATAATGGAATATTTTTATTTCATGTTATAGAAAGCCAGCCCAAACTTAGGCTTGCTACCATAGTATAATGTAGCTACGGATCTTGCAAGTATTTTGTAGAAATATAATAATTTTTAATTACATATCTGATCCACATGTACTTTAAAATTTTTTAAATGATTTAGTAGTCATAAATGTATCTGTACTGAAAGTTTAGAAAGAGCTGCTTCCTAACCAAATGTGTCTTCACTGAAATTGACTAAAGCTATTTATACAGGAATAAAATACATGAAAATCTGGCTAAATAATTTCAATTTAGATTCAAGCTGATTTTATATATATATATATAGTCTATATACATGTATTCTAAATTTATTCAACATTTTACAAAGGGATAATAATGCAATAGGGAGTAGAACATAGCATAGTCTGTTGAAACTTGGGGCTACTCATTTTAAAGGATGAGTTAACAGTGGATAACAGCAGCTTAGGATTCTCTTAGTGAGTTTTTGGATAGAATGCCTAGAGACAATATTAATGTGGACTGTGATCACAGCTTTTATAGACAGAAACTCCTCATGGTTTGGGGAAGAAGTGACTTTTACCAGTATCATCCTGAGAGTCTTCTCTGTATGAGAAGATGTGCCTTTATATACATTGGGCAAAAGCTGAAATCAAAATTTTACATAATTTGGATGTAACTCATGGTAAAGTCTCTTTATAAGGCTTTTAGCAGATGATTCATTCAACATTTGCATTTAGGCAAACTTGCCTATTTTATAATTTTATATACTTTAATAGCATAATTATCATTGCTTTTTTGAGTAGGGCAATATGGTTTGATATTGTTACATTTAATTCTTCAAGGAATAATCAATATTTTTATAATGTTTTGTAAACTTAATTCAAACCTCTTTATTAAGCATGTGAATTTTCTTCAAAAGAATTTTAATATTTTCAAGCGAAAGGAAAACACAATTTCCTTTAGTTTCTCGGTGAGTTCTTGAACTACTTTCTCATTGACTATGAAGTGAACCCTAATAGCTGCGCACATGACCAGTACTCCACTCCTGTGCATGTATTAGTAATAGGAAGGTAAACATTTTGAAATTATAAAACTGTGTATTATAAGAATCATTTCATCCTTTCCTGTCTATATGAATGAAACTTTAGCACTGGCTGCTTTGTTACAAAATAAAACCTCCTCCTTTAAAGAAGCATGTCCAGCCTCTAGACATTGTGCAATGACACTGTCATCTGCAAATATGCTCTGCCATACTCAGGAAGTTCTGGGACCTCCATATCGTGTGGGTTGCATTGGACATACCTACTTTAATTGTATGATAAAATAAACTATGTTTTAAAAACACTGTTTATGAAAATTTAAATATAAATTTCAAGACCCTGTTGCAAAGAAAACTTTTTAAAGTGACATTCTGTTTTCATGAACTTGAAAACAATATTTAAGACAGCTCTGAAAGACTACAATAATAAAAGCACATTTTTATAGCGTTAGCAATGAATTTTCTGCCATCTCCTTGATAAATGCAAAGCTGATAAACTAACAATTTCAGTAACTTTTGTATTTATTTTACCCTCATGATCTAATTATTTAGAACAACTCTCATTCTCTTTCCCTTCGTTTTGCCTCTCCAAATATACTCAATGCTTAGACTAGATGTTGGCTCACTGCTTTCCAAAATATGAGTGAGAGTTTATGTGTTTTGGCTATCATTATGAAGAGACAAAGAAAGTTGCTGATCATTTCTGTAAATACCTTATCTTCAGAGAGTTTGGCTGATGTGTTGATATGTTCATAGGGAGGCACTTGGTTAAATAGGAAAGAGGTCTCCAGAAAATCATGAATCAGCTGAAGATAGCAAATATCTTATTGTTCTTAACTATTTATACAAAATGAGAGCTGGAGAGTTTCCATGT